AAACTTTTTAGGTACTCTCTCTAAAATTTGATATAGTTTCTCTCTTTAAAAGTTAAAATATGAGATTTTTCTCTCTCTAAAATTTTTGAAATGGTTTCTCTCTTTAAAAATTGTTATAGTTTCTCTCTCTAAAAATTTGCATGTACTTTCTCTCTTTAACACTTAAAATTTGAGATAGTTTCTCTCTAAAAATTTTTGGTACTTTTTCTCTCTAAAATTTTAACATACTTTCTCTTTCTAAAAGTTAAAATTTGAGATAGTTTTTCTATCTAAAATTTTGAGATAGTTCATCTCTTTAAAAAATTTGGTACTTTTTCTCTCTCTAAAATTTTAACATGCTTTATCTCTCTAAAATTTTAACATATTTTCTCTCTCTAAAAGTTAAAATTTGACATAATTTTTTTTCTTTAAAAATTATGAGATAGTTTCTCTCTTAAAAAAAATTTAGGTACTTTCTCTCTCTAAATTTTCATATCTACCAAATGCTCCCTATCTTTCGGGTCGAGGGAGCCAACAAGTGAAATCCATGGGCCTTGGAAACGCTAAAAAAAAAGTTTTGGTGTGGAAATGAAATCATGCAAAAGTAGGTCTTATTTTCATGATTTTGATTTTTTTGATTTTAAGTATCCTAGCCATTAAACAATCCAAACCGTGGATTTTAACGATATCCAAGATATTAGAAATCCATGTACCCAAAGAGGCCTTTAGAATAATTTTCCTTAATTGTATTTTCTTTATTTATGAAAAAATCTTATATAAGGCATCAACCTTATTTTAAAGCACACCTCAAAAATCCTTTGAACAAAGTTGATGAGTGCATCTTATAACACAATCTGGACCATCTATTTTCAATATTTTTAAATATGCTCAATCTGTAACATTTATCGAGATTTGAATTCTATAATTAAGGGTAAAAATATGTTTTCACATTACTGTAAAATTCAAATTTTATAATTAAGAGCAAAAATAGACTTTCATGCTACCGTAAGGACTGCATCTTTGAACAGAGTTCGAAAATGCGCCTTTCCATGATTGTTTAAAATTGACACCTTCACTTAACGCCCTTCACTTCTCCATTCTGCATCTATCTCTGTTGCATCTTATCTCCATTCACAGGCAAAGACTATCTTCAAGTTCCAAGAGGGGAACCGTAGAGCTCCAGTGTCAGTCCCAATACATATGAGGTGCACCATGGGAAAATCCTCGTCATTCTCTCTCTCTCGCACGCATACACAAAACTCTCTCCCTCTCTCAGCTAGGAGGGAGGCAGAATTAAAGTTCAGTCCTACGACCATAGCTGCTGAAAGGATGGGGCTGCCCTGTTATAGCCATGGCAGGGTCAAGGGCCGGGTACCTTAGAGAGATGTATCTCTCACTTCAACATCTCTCTCACCCTCTCGGAGGCACCCATGCCACTGCCCCTGTCATGGCTGGGGCGGTGCTGTCCGCCCGCACTATGGCTCAAACATGGCTACAAATATTCGGAGCGAACAGTATCCTCAAATTCGCAAAGTTGCACGCCTCAAAACACCAATTATGCCGCTCCATTGGTGGTTTCATCTCTGTCTAAGCCACAACCCTTGATAGTGGGGATGAGGCACAAGTTACATTTCGTACTGTTCATGAAACTCAATGCACACTGTGTACTTTTACTTTAGGAAAAATGCAGCATTTATTTACAATTTTAGGGAAGCTTATTAAAATACACCAAGATGAACTATCTAACAGTTTATTGATTTCTTTTGATTTGGTTCTTAAAAGTCTATAAAAATACGTGATAATGAGTTGAAATAGTTGAAAATAGATAATATGTGAAATAATAGATATTTTTAGTTGTATTTTGAGACATCCAAGCTATCAAATTTCACATCGGATAGTTGTAAGTAATTGTGACCATCTTCTATCAAAAATAAATAATCTCCTTATATACGATCCTTTTTATATACTACCTGGTTATAAACAAGTCCCTAAGCTATCTTAGGTCAAACGTGGACAGTTAGGGGTATATCGTTCCTATCCTCAAAGCCTGTAAAAAGTTTCAGCATATTTTGATTTGAGGCAAGACATCACCCAACCATCATTGTCTGACATTAAATGGTTTAAGAGAATTGTTTCATACTCATGCATGATATATACAAATACTAAATATTTCACAATTGCAATTGATAAGTATTTATATACAATTCTAGCACTTGAGTTTCCCACATTTAGCAAGGCCCTATCCAACTGTATGGTATAATTGAGGGATATTTGAGGGTATGTCCATCCTCAACTCAAAGTCAATCAAATTTTCATAAAGACTTCGAGCACACTAGTGACATTGGAGAGCCATCCCTTACCTACATATGGAGGTATGAAGGTCCTAGCAAGTTGTAGGAAATTCGAGTAGCATCAAATACTTCTCCACTTATTAAAATGGATTTTATACTATAAATCATTTAATTTTAGTACAAAGAGATCACAATCACGTATGACTTCCAAACATCAATTTTCATGATCTAGAGTATGTTCAAAGAGTTCTCCTTTGGAGATTGAGCCGATCAATGGAATACCCTCAAATATTGATTTCATATCCAAAGAAAAAGTTGGTTGCAACCTCCTTGCACTTACGGGTGGCAATAGACCAGGATAGCCTTGGCTTTGGGTAAGCCCTTGTCTTGGGCCAACCCTAGCCCTGGCCCTATTAGGGCTGGGATAGGCCAGCACTAGCCCTAGCCCATCCCTCAAGCCACACTTTATAGCCCGGACCCTACTTTTTTTAAGGCCGGGTCGGGTTACCTGGCCCATTGCCTGCCCTACTTGCATCCGAGGCCACTTTTCCATTGCTCAAGAAAAGAACAACAATGAGAACTAAAGTTCCTAACACATTTAATGGCATAAAACCAGCACAGGAACTCAAGGGAGTGTAACCCAAAGCAACCAATCCATATATATATAGCCCCATGTAAACAATAGATTAAAGTTCTACAAGAGGAATCCAGTGTATGTGTATGACGATGTAATAAAAGCTTGAAAACAAGGATACGAGTGTATATGATGACACAAAAGGGGTTAAAGAAACAGAGAAAGTCAATACCCGAACCACCACCCTGGCTAAGTGGTGAGGCCACCATAATCAAAGTTACCTAACCACACAGCAAGGATCTCATCTGGTGCGCTCTTGACTCCCCCACATTCCCACTTTTTACTTATTTATCTCCCTTATATTTCATCTCCAATGGTGCTTCTTCCTCTTATTTCCCACAAAATTACACCCCCTTTGTTCTATCTCTACACCATTTCCACCTCTTTATCTCTCCACACCTTGATTTCTCTCTCTATAAATATATATACCAAGGGGAAATTACTTGATAGTGCTCCCCCACATATGACTCTATAGAAAATACCCAGAAAGCACCTCTTTTTACTGGCATCACCATTATACCTCAGGCCCCTTTGTGAAGTATATATAACACCTTCCCCCCTCTAGGAATTTTGACAAGATCAGGTCTTCCTCCAAAAAGTTAGGGCTCTTGGTATAATCATCATCCCTGTAAAACGAGAGCTCATTTTGGGCAATTCTCTTAAAATTTCTCACACTTTTTTTTCACTCTTAATCCTAAGACACACATCATTTTGACAACCCCCACACTCTCTTTTCCTCAAATCCCAACAGACACAGACACACACTCTCTCTCTCTCATTTATTCCCTGGACTCTCCCCACTTCTCTCCGAAGGTGGGTGTCCCTAGCAGACCTTTACCGTTACTGATCACGAGGTGCCAATAAGGCAGCCCTGATCTGATTAACCGCGTTGCAGAGATGGTTGTTAATGGCAGGAACGGCTGAGAAATTGAGATTTGCAGTAGGGTTTGAGCTTGCCAACATCTGCACCCCCACCGTCATGAGGCACCCATCTCCCCTATTATTGCTGCTGCTGATACCGTTGCCGTTATAGGCATGTTTTGGGTCGTTGGGTTGGCGTCGCGGGGTGATGATGAAACCGGAGGGTAAGAGAGGGACATAAGAATGGTCCTCGCTCGTCACAGCCATCTGCACAGAGGATATGTCGATGGGGGCATAGATAACAAGGGACGCAGAGGGGTCGGTGCAGCTCTCCTGGAGCATCAGCTCCACATTCTGCGGTGTGTTGCCCCCGGTCTGTGCGGTTTCAATTTGTGGAGAGAGAAAGTGAATGAGCAAAGGAAATGCAAGTCTTCTCTCTCATTTGTACACTCACAGTGGGGAAAAGAGAGAGAGAGAGAGAGGGCTTTATTGATTTTGAGTAACACTTACATTCACACGATAAAGAGAAATGCAGTTGCCTGTATGTGTGCCATTGGCAATGTGCGCCACTTCGTTGCTAGCGCTACCGCTTGAAAGAACATCTAACTGTAAATATATTACAATTATTAGTTTGTGATTGTTATTATTATTCATGAATAACTAATCGCAAAAATCTCAGAAATATTGACTCCCAGTTAAAATGAATATTCCCAGTTATCTTGTTCCAAAGAAGTCACAATTATTTCTAGCCATTGGATGTCAATTTGGATTGTGATTCAGATATGTCATGAAGTTCAAGAAGTTTTTTTTGAATTTTGAGTCTAATCGATGACACTCTTATAACTACCCAATTTAAAATTTGACGAGTGATTATGACCTCTTGTATAAAAAATAAATGATCTCTTTGTATATTTTCTTGACATCCAAACCTTTACATACCCACATGCATGTGTTTGTACACATTAGCATAGTTGGATTCCTACATACATTGATTCATAGCACATGTATGATGCATACATGAATATAATGTTGCATGCGTGGATGCATACATACCTCAGTTCTGCGGCGATCGTCTCGAAGGAGATCAAAGACCTGGTGGGGGGGAACGGGCAGCCAAGTAGTGGTGATAGCACAGAGTATGAGCCCAATGGGTTGCCCAACCTCAGTATTCTTCCTTGTTGTGATCCTCACTGTGTCCTCAGGCCCGCCTGTTAGCGTAGTCCATGATTGGCCCCCAGACCCGCTCATGTTGATGCAGAAGATCCTCATCATCCTCTGGGCAAGCCTCATCAAGCTACGTCGCGCTTCCAGTGTGGTCATTACTGAAAAAGCTATCATTCCATAAAACCATGGATAAAACTGCATTTTATGTGAACATTAAAAAATATCTATATTTTACGTATAATATAATTATATTTAAAGGTCATGTGTTAATCAACCAAACTACAGTGGTGATACAATAATTTCAGGAGCAAGATGAAAAAGCAAAAGTATATAAGGGAGTTTTTTTACTAATTGGAACCTACAGAGTTATTTGATTCAAGTAAAAAGGATGGATAAGTTTGGTAGTGTTTAGGGATAAACTTCAAGAACTATCCATTTTCAAGGGTTAAGTATACCATAATCCAGTGGTGTATGGTACAAGTCATACGCCAATAATCTGTTCTCATTGACGGAGAGATTAAGGTATTATTAATCTCCCACCATCCATCATAAAAAAATAAAAAGTTAATGTTAACATTAATGTTCCCTAATCCTGTGTCATAATGCAATGGTTTATGGTACACTTTTCCCATTTTCCATGGGTGAGCATGGGATTTGACCTTGTAACTGTGAGAAACTCGGGCTTCACCATGCCCAACTCCACTTTTATTTTCAAAATTACAAAAAGGGAAGGCCATTTTTTCAAGAAAAGTTGACAAAAATATCTCCTACCTCCGAGATCACGATCGGAAATGTTTTCAGCCATGAGGCTTGCGAGCCTCTCGCACTGGCGCTGCAACACAGTGGCCCAACGTTGAGCCCCAAATGCCTCTCCGCTTTCGACAATTTGATTAAACATGGGATGAATTGGTTTATCATCGACTTCTGAATGTTCTACCCAAGTCACCTGCATAGAAAATCAATGTCATAGAGATCAATTCTTTTTTTCCTCCAAAAATAATTAGAAGGTCAAATAATGTGTGCCACAAATTTTTCAAATTTAAAATCGAATATTGGCTACTTAATTATATGGACCCTTGAACTCTATTTTCTTCTGAACTTTAGCCAAGAGCTGAATCAAAGATCTATTTTTATATATTTTTTGTTATCCTCCCAAATATCACAACCATAAGAAATAATCAGTTCTTCTTTATCAAAAGGTCAATATTATCCGAAACATCATAAGATAACTTCCCCATTACTACCAATTGCAGGAATGTTTCTCTGGAAATTCAACAAAAATCTGAATCTACAATGGTAAAAAATTTCGGTGACTTCCGAAAAGATCCAAAAGTGCCATGACACAATTATTTTTACGATTTCACTAAATAAAAAATTTGGGTTTTACAGATTTTTCAAATTCCATGTTTATTTCAGCAAACTATCAAAATTTCGCAGACATTCCCTTTCAAATACAGCAAAATGTAAATCAATATCTCAGTCGAAGATAATTACCCTTGAATAACCATTAGGCATATCTTTAATCACACAACCAGAGGGGCGCCTCCTGTACCTAGAGAGAGGCAGTTGCAGATTCTCACTGATACCATCAACGGGAAAATCAACGATCACCCAACCACCGTCAGCAGTTTGTTGGCAATATCGCAGAAAGTAAACCTCACGAGTGGGTACCAATGGAGTGAAAAACTGGAACTCAGCATACATCTGAAAATAGAAAATTTCTCAATAATCTTAGTCATTTAGTAATGCATTATGATTTGGTTATGAATAAGAGCAGGGCAAATTTACAGTCCTACATGGATATTGAATATAGGCAACTCAGTCATTTCCAAATGAATGATGAATTGAAATTGAATGAAAAAAAATAACTGCAATTTCCTGGAAATGCAGAAGTTATGTGGTTAGAAATTTACCAGTTGAAGCGACCCACTTCCATGGCTGGCAAGTCCGGCTGTTATGACTTGGACTGTCCTTGCCTTCGAAACTATAGATGGGAACATCTCCATCCATTTGTTCTGCACAGTACATGGATGAATGAATAAGTGACTTTTCTCTCTCACACACATACAAGCACACACACACAGAGGAACACACATACCGCATCCAAGAACGCATCAACGAGTGTGATGCTGTTCATTATAACCGTTACAGTGGATCGGGTCCCCTCAGTCCTCCACCCGCTCAATTCCTGCTTATGGTTGATCGGCCATTGAAATGACTTCGCATACTCGTCCACGTTCAAAATCTCTCTACCTTCACCGCCACTTTGGAGCCACAACCCCTCATTAAGCTGAGACATCTTTAGGAGCTCAGCCATGGCTGCCATGGCAAGGTCGAAAGCGAGTGGCTTATCATTCTCCAGTAGTCCAACTGTTCCGAGTGGGTTAATCTCAGGCATTGAATGGGGCACCATCATGTCGCTAGTGTGGCACAGAGGAGGGCAAAAGGGAGGCGGAGGAGCCTGTTCATGATGGTACTGCCTTGTATACATGCCAATATCAAGGTCTAAAGAGGGGACCATCATTTGTGGAGCTTGAACCATGCCATGTACTGGCCTCCCCCCAGCGTATCTTGTCGCCATACCGTTAAGGCGTTCGAGCTGCATGCAAGGGAGAAACAATAACTAGTAAGGGCTCAAAGCATACGTGATTAGAGTGATAGGTGCTACAACGTGACGTATTGAGTTACATTTCTATTATAAATAGCAAGGCTCTTTCCCTATTGAATTACTACTAAATTATAAAAAAAAAAGAAGGGATGATTTTTTGAAGAATCCTTTGATTTCCTCTCTCTATCTCTAGTATGCCCATTCTCGCTTGATAGACCCACAATTAGACGTCTCACCTCCTACCTTGAGCGGGCATCTTTACCCATATAGAAGGTTCAATCCGAAAAGTAGATGGTCATAGAGTTTAAGATTTTTTTTTTTGTTAAACTTTGAATCTAATCAATGACATTTTTATTATCACCCAATTTCAATTTTGATAGGCAATTTCATAGACAAGAATATTGTGTGACTTCTTTGTACTAAAGTAAATAATTTATTTGTATAAGTTTTCAAAATAGATCACTAATTACTATTCCATAAATTTTTAACTAAATTTCAATAAAAAATAAATTCAATTTCCAAACTAAAAGTAAATAAATAAAAAAAAAGGGTTGCATAATTTTAAATAGAAAAGTGAGTGGAAATTTTCTCAAACATTTCATCGAATCGACACAGAATTCATCTGATGTCCCATTTGTCTTTTTTTTTTTCTCTACGAATTTGATGAGCCAGATGGCTGTTGTACATGCGTACTCATTTTCCTCAAATTTGATTATAAGGGAGGAGAAACACAAATCAAAGCTAGTGTGTCATTCATTATCATCATTATTATTAGAGCCTTTTTCTTCAACTATTTGGATGGTCTAGATTATTTGGACATAAATGATACAAATTTGGACCGTTCAAAATTGACTTCAGAGTTTTTATCGAAGCTTATATCTTTTCATCTAAATGGAGAGTAAACCCCTTTGGAGCTTTTCTCAAGCCTCACATATTTCCATTTAAAACTCTAAATAAAGTTGTTAACAACAAATAGGATCTATATTTATAGACAACAAATGGTTTATTAGACATGTTAAAAAAAAAAAGGAAATAGAAAAGATCAAGTAAATGGTTTATTAGACATGTTAAAAAAAAAAGGAAAAAAAAAAAGAAAGAAAAGGAAAAAGTAAATAGTTTATTAGACACTAGATTGTCCGGAAATATCCTATGTCACCCCTGATAAGTAGATTTCTAAATGATCATTTTTTGGTATGCCCTATTTAGTGAGAGGGCGTTAAAAAGGGGTTTAAGTTTGTGGGAGTTTTTGTTTTCAGATAACCCCAATTTAGAAGTTCTAATTTCAAACTTAACAATGTACACATTTATTTGTATTTTATGTCAAGATACCCTTCATAAAAATTATTTCTATTTTTAGGCTTCACACCATCCTAAAATATAGAAAGAATCTACTTTTAATTAAAAATCTTCTTCTTTTCATATTATTTCTTTTAAGAAATTAATACTCATGAAATTTCACTCTAAAAACCTAGATATTTTATTTATAATAAAAAAAAACCGTCTAAAATCGTTCTCTCTCTCTTCAGGCACACAGGCTGCGACGGCTGAAAATAACAATTAATAAATTACTCTGCCATGCTTTTAATCATCCACAAAAAGACAAAAGCGAACACTAATGAAAAAAAAAATGCAAACCCCACATTTAATTAACAAAATTAGGGTTTTGTCAAAGAAACCCTAAGAGATGTTTGTTTAATACTCAAGCTATTCCTTTCTGTTTTTGGGGAAAATAAAAAATAAAACTATTCGAGATATTGAGATATTAGTCCTTGTAATACCTGCATCTCATAGAAATTCAAAAATTTCAAAAATTTTAACAATTTTTGTGAAATATAAAAATTTGAAAGTACTCCTCATGCAAATTATGACATGGGTTCCGAGAATCAGATCTTAAACTCACCATTCCATTATGTATGGGAATATGGTAGAACAAATTGGGTGTACTTTTTAAATAATGGTAATTGTGGGGATATATATGTAAATTTCTCCAAATTTTTCTTGAAAGAAAAGGAGAAGAAATAAAAGTCTTCATAAGTTTCACATGTGACCGATGTTTCTAGGAAAAAAGAGAGGGAGAAGAAGAAATTAACCTCTTCCTTGAGTCGGGCATTTTCAATGCGCAGGTGCTGCTCATCAAGAGACATTTCTCCCAAAATGGCTGGCCCCCCACAAGCAGGGCATGTTATATTTCTGATGGCGCCGTGCAGGCGGACGTTCTCGTTCTTTAGGTTCTCGTTTTCAGCCCTGAGTATCACGTTGTCGGCGCGGTCTTGCTGAGACTGCTTAGCCGCGCAATGATGATGATAATGCACGTTAGAGAAAGAGAAAGACAACGACATGTTTTATGAGATGGAAAAGACAATCCAGAAATAGAGAAAACAAGAAGTTCGAGAGAAAAATAAAGAGAAGAGGATAGACAAAAGAGCAATGAACAATGGACAATGCTATGGCTCTGTGTATGATGGGATGAAAAAAGAAGACTAACAAGAGTTCTTAAAGAGAACTTGAAGCTAAAAAGAGATAGAAGCGACCAACTTAGTTACAGTTTCTTGAGCACGCGTGCACGCAGGCGAGGGAGAATCGTGCAGTGCATTACTTACTTCTTTCTTTGTTTAGAAAAGCTGTTTTATTTCATAAATATGCAATAAATTGAGAGATTTTATAGTGGTAGGGGTGAACCAGGGGCCACTGACATGGTTTGGGACCTTTCGGTACCACAAGGCCAAAAAGAAGGGGGAAATTTCTTTTTTAAATTAGGGAAAACAGATTGGGAACAGATAGGAAAAGGAAATTGTCACCATCGACAATTAGTTTGAACGATAATTACAGACGATAAAAGTATCATTAATCTAAACAGGAGCTACTCTCATAGTATCACTGATCCAACCCTTTGATTTTATGTTAATTGCCTCTGACCCTACTGTTTCCATGGTGTAAGTGTACATAGACCTTCAATGAAGGTCTAATAACAACTCGACTATATTTGCGAGAATTACATTGTTAAGGGAAGGATATGGATGAGTAAAAAGACAACGCCACAAAAGCTAGGCAGTCAGGTTGGTAGGGCACTATAACATGAAGTCTTGAGTTCCATTATTACCAAAAGTAGTGGACCCCTTTTCCGCTAAACTACCCAAGCATTTACGTGAAATCTCATGTAAAGGATTGAGGACCAATGGCCTTAAATTTATTTGAAAGACACATGAAATATAATTGTTGTTGACTCCAGTGAGGGTAACATGGCTACTAAATGGTAAAAATAACAACAACAATAATAATTTAAACAAAAGGGAGTTTAGCAGTGTGAAAAACTAGTTACGGATCAAAGAATTATGCAGAGAGATATGGTGACAAAAATGAGACAAAGAGATACCTTCATTTGTGTTCTTCTGTTCTGAAACCAGAACTTGACTTGTCGAGGTTTGAGGCCAAGATCTTGGCTGAGTTTGAGCCTTTGCTTGTCGTCCGGATGTGGGCATTCTTTGAATAGACTACACATAAAATCAGAAAATTACAGGGAAAAAAGTTTACAAAACGTACAAAATTGGCTTTGCTGAGGGATGATAAAAAAAGGGAGAGATAAAAGATCTAAATTACAAATTTGAACAATAAATTGTATACACTATTTTGTATAATTCTAAACAGTTTGTATGACTGTATTTTTTATCATATAACATATTAAAAAAGGGCAAAGTTTGGCCGATACCTTGAAGGATACTATTGTATTACGACTATCATCATCCAAGCCGTTTGCTACCGCACATGGATGGTTAGAATGAATTTAAAAGAGAGAAGGGATAAAAAAAGGACGCGGTTTCTTCGAGTCCATGTAGAAATGAGTCCCCTCTTAAAACTTATTATTTTTGAGGTGGATTCTTTTACCTAATTTTTAAGGACATATAATTTCTAACATGGAGATCACAAATATAAATAATTAAATAAATTTTAGAAATTAAAAAATAATTTTAGGAAGAAAATTTTTGGACCATTAGTTTCAACTATTTTTTAATGGACCACCAATTTGCATCCAATGCTTTATACCTCAGCAGATGTAAATGCATCCCCCCACGCATAGAACAATTTTCCGAAAAAGAATCATCATAGAAAAGATATAATTATTACATTATAGTTTTCAGTTTAACTTCGTGGAGAAAAAATGAGGTCAACTTCAGAACAAAAATCCTTGAGACTTGAAATAAATTTTAAAATAGTATTATCATAAAAGAAAAAATTTATATAAGTTTGCAACCTGAAAATCTAGAATTAAAGATGCACATTCAAAATGATAAAGATTGTTTTAATGTTGAAAAAACCTCTAATTGATCATCTCGACATCGAGATGCATGAATATGAAAAAAAAAAGAAAAGATTTTGAGTCCCAAAAATAGTGAAACACATTATCTAGATCTTCAATTTTCAAGATTTTCATATGTTTATAGATCTACTTAATTTTAACCATTTTTAGAGTTTAAAATTTTATAACTAGTTATAAAAATAGATTTTCAGATAATCCTAAAAGATTTTTACACCAAAATTACATGTTATGATAACACTTGGAGATGCGGCTTAATTGGATTGTTTAATGTTACAACCTTATAGAAACCACACCCTTATTTAAAAGAGTATTGTTCTTTTTGACCTACGATAATGCTGGCCTAGGTAAGCATGTGTTAAGCATGTGTCAAAGAGATTATTAAGGATGGTATAAATTATAAAATAAACTTGGTCGAGCATGAAATCAGGGTAAATGAGATCACCTCAAGAACAAAAATCCCTAAAATTTGAAAGAAATTTTAAAATAGTATTGTCCCTTTTGACCTACATGCTGACCGAGGTAAACATGCGTCAAAGAGATTCTAAAGCATGACATAAATTATACCATAAACTTAAGTCAAGCATAAAATCAATTGAAAACTAAAAGGATTAAGAAAATCAGACAGGGATCCTATATTGAAAATTGAGACAAAGATATTTACCAAAAATCTTGGACATAAAGAGCGCCGGCAAAACCATGGTTCTCATAAAGAAATATGGCCACCCCAAACAACCACGGAGAAGAGAGGAGGGAGAGAGATGTAGAGAGAGAGAAATACAGAGAAAGAGAGGGGGGGGGGGGGAAGCGAACCCAAAAAAAAAAAGTGCAGGTAATTTAATGGGGAATGAAGAGATGGTGATGGTAGAGAGAGTAGACATACGCTTCCATCTCTTGAATTTGCCTGACACTGTGCCTATGATAACGCTTTCTCTTGGGGTTCCGCTGCTGTTGCTCACCATCCTCATGCTCTTCCGACACCCCTCCATCGATGTTCCCACTTCCAGACTTGCTATCCAGTTCATCTTCCTTCCCTTTCAATGCACCATTATCCTCTTTCTACACCAAAAGAACCCAAATCCAATTAGAGTGAGCGTGAGAGAGTAGTAATTCCTAGCAATGAAAACATATTGGGAATTTTAGTTCTGAAAGAGTAAACAGAGAAGTTTTTTTTGAGATTTAAAAGTATACAGAGGATTAGGTGGCCCTCCAAACGGTTAGAGAGAGAGGGAGAGAGAGAGCAAACATGACTGTATGGTTGGTTCTACGACCCCAAACATTGTTGGTAGAGAGAAAGACAAGCCTTTAGAAAAAAGAAGAGAGAAAGACAGACTGTGAATTATGTTTATAGCAGCTCTTGGAAGGATATTAAGAGAGAGAGAGAGAGTATATGGCATTAGGAGTCCCATGCTGAGGGGAAAGATACTAGAGGTATGGTGTATTAGGACTCTTTTTTGCAAATAAAGGGCAGAGACAGTATCCATATAGGGCATTAGGAATCCAATTAAGAGTAAAATTTTGATGGACAGATATGGGAGTTATATAATTAGGATTCCTTTTGCTAATTCGGAGAGAGAAAGAATCTATGGTGTCTGTTTAGGAGTCCTAAGTAAATCTTCTCCTTCTATCCTAATTATCGATGAGAAAAAATTTAGGAGAGAGAAAAATAATCTATGGTGTCCGCTTCTAGGTTTAGGAGTCGTAAATGTTTTTCTTCTATCTTAATTATCAACGAGAAAAAATTTGCTGAAAATAGGGCTCGAGCTGACTCGAGACATTTGAATGACAGATACAATATAATCGGGCGAATCTGACCCTAGTCCTAAAATTGTAGGTCTATATTCAGTTTGGGTGACTAACCTGAAAAATAGGGCGCGGACTTGAGACACTTGGACTCCATAGTCTGAATAACTATCCCCAAAATCGGGCGAGTCTAACTCGAGTCCAAAAAGCAAAACCATATGTATATTTGTATCACTTAGTTGAGGTAAGATCCGAGTCTTAAAAGGTGACTCGGAAACAGACTGACTCGAGACACTTGGATTTCATAGCCTGAATGGCTAACCCCAAAAATTGGGTAAGTCGGACCTGAAAAGAAAAGTAAAATTGTATGTTTGTTTTTGCCGCATTTACTTTTAGTCTGACTAACCCCCAGTATAGTAGACCCGAGTCTTAAAAGTTGACCCGGGCACATACTGACTCGAGACACTTGGACGTCATTGTCCAAATGACTTGCCCCAAAAATCGGGTGAGTCTAACCCTATTCGTAAAAGGTCAAGTACATGTCTATTTTGTCAATTTTGACCGTGGGGATGACTGGCCCCAAAACTAGTAAGACCCGAGTCTTAAAATCTGACTCGGGAACGGACTGACGCGAGACACTTGCACTCGACCATCCAAATAACGAATCCCAAAATAGGGAGAGTGGGATCCTAGTCCTAAAAAGTAAAATTGTATGTATATTTTTGTCACACTAAAAAAAGGACTTGACCCAACCCCGAAAAAAAAAAATGTATGTATTTTTTATTTGAGTCCAGAGGATTCGAGCTCGACATTTTAAACAATGGTATTTAAGAAAGACCTGAAATCAGAAACATCCAATTTGAAATCTAATTATCAAATTCCGACAAAATTATTAGGATTTACTAATTATTGCCTTAAAAAGATTCCGATTTGACTCGAAATCCTAAAAAAATCTTGGTATGGTACAAAAATAGCCATATGCAAAAAATAAACTCCCCCCATGAGGGAATAGGCCATGAAGAAGAAAAAAAAGTCTCTCAAAAAGATACATAAGCTAAAACAAACCTAGAGCAGAAAGCCTGAAGTTAAATCTAAAACTCTTTAAGGTATTCCATATTGGTTACCTGATCCAAACTACCCAAAAACCTATACACCAACAATGAAACCAGAACTAGAGAAGACCTAAATAACCCTCAATTCAACTGAAGGAGGGAAAAAAAAGAAAGAAGAAATACAAAAGAAAGCTGAACAAGAAAAAAAGAAAAATGAAAACCTAAATAACCCTCAATTCAACTGAAGGATGCAAAAAAGAAAATGAAAAATAAAGAAGAAGTACAAAAGAAAGCTGAACAAGAAAAAAGGAAAAATGAAAACCTAAATAACCCTCAATTCAACAGAAGGAGGCAAAAAAGAAATGAAAAAGAAAGAAGAAATACAAAAGACATCAGAGATAAAAAATGAAAGTAAAAAAAAGCATACAATGCCATTAGAACTTACAGTGAGGAGGCTTGAGAAGACTGGTGGTGAGTTATAAGGCAGGTTATGAAGGAAGTTGAGGTTTGAAGGAGGGAACATTGGCTCTCCAACTATGTTTCCACCCATTGACATCATGACCTGGCAATCTCCATACATTCTCTCAGAATAAGCTTAGATCCTTCTAATGTAATTCCAGGGACCTGAAAATTAGAATTCCCAATGAAAAAAGGAAAGAATGGTGACATAAAATGTAAAGATGGAATTCTTAGCAGCATAATGCTAAAGATCACAAAAAACTAGAAGTATTGTGAAATTTTGCAGAGAAAAATCATGGATTTTGATGTAACGTATAATAGTTGTCAAGGGATAAAGAAGTTCTGCTGCTCTATGAAGGACCATACACAAAGTCAGACCATAAGTCATCCATATCTCATCTCATAAAGAATTTTCATTTTTTTCCATGATGAAAACCATAGATAGATTGTAATGATTGATCTGAAAATGTGAAATGAATTTTGTAGAAATATGGTTAATAAGTAGAAAACTAGAGGGGAAGTGAAATTTAAAACTTAAAAAGGAGAGCTCTAAATCACTGAAAATATCCACAAGTAATGTGTTAATGAAGACAAAAAGGAGTGCGAAGTGTTGAAAAAATTGAATTATCCTTGAGAAACTTTTTAAGGTTTTAATACACATAAAACGCATATAATATTGGGCCATGTTTTGGTAAAGAAACAAGCAGTAAATGCAGGTAGAAATCACTACAGACCTTTATATCATAATAAAAAAAAAAATTAAAATAAAAGAGATGTTGGAATCAAAAGAAATGGATATTTTAAAAAATAAAAAATAAAAAATACGGTTACAAAATCGACTTAAAAAACCACACACACGGCTACAAAACCACCAAGAAAAACTCTAAAAATCATGAGAAATCAAACCCTATAACAAGGGGAGCAAGAATTAAGAAATAACAAGTTCTTGCTAAAGAGAGGCAAGAAAACTTTCAAGAAAAAGAAAAGAGAAATCAAAATAAATCTTGAAAAACCGATCTCATTTTAAAGATGGATGAGAATAGAAAGAAACCAAGAAAATGCAAGAAATCAAACCATATCTCCATTAAAAAGGAAAAAGACCCACAATCAAGAGAAAAAATCTGTAAAAATCTCTATTAAAAACATTCAATGAATTTCAAAGCTCAACTGAAGGTGAAAATTTAGAAACATATAATGGTGGAAATCATCAGCAAGTTAGTTTAAAATTCATAACTGTGACAATATATACACCATAAAATCACTCTTTCTCTCTCTCAATTCTCTCTCTCTCGCTCTCTCGCTCGCTAGTTTTAAAAGGATCGAGAGATTTATACCTGCGCGAGCAAGTTTTACTGAAGAGGAAGGAGGAGTGAGAAAGAGTCGGTTTCTTTTATAGCGATCAGAAAGAGAGGAGGAATCGCAACCCTCGGCTCACCTTAACTCCTCGAACTCCTGCACTGAGATCGCCATGAAAGCAGCCGTAAGTCCTTTCCTCAAATATTTTGCAAAGAGAAGAGAGAGAAAGTAATATATTATGAGAGTGAAAGAAATATATTATGAGAGAGAAACACTGTGGGAGTAAATACATGAGAGTGAAGAGAGAGAAAAGATGCAGAAGAGTGTGCTGGGTCTTTAAATATTTGACCTGTCAAGGAGAAGGTTTTCTCTCGCTTCTGCTGCTCTCTATCTCTCTCTAAGCTTACCAGTCTCTCTTTCTCTCTCTAGGCCTCTCAGTCTCTCTCTCTCTCTCTATCTGTCTCTTTCTCTTTCTCACTATTGCTCCGGTCTATATCCCCTCTTGTAGAGGCCAACTCCATTCGTGCCCTTTTATTTGTATCCCGATGAATTCTATAATGCCAAATCTATCCCCAAAACCCTCTCCATGGGAGGGGTATTTTGGTAAACAAGAATCAACGGTCTCTCCACAAAGAGGAGACGCAGGGATAAACCGGGTATTGTCGGGTTTATGGGTGAAAAATTGAACCCTAGTTTTCTCTCTCTACGTGCTCCCTTTCACCACTGTAAAATTGCAGAACAGGCTCCCCTCTCTCCTCTCTCTTCCCCTCTCTCTCTCCTTAGGTCGCCTATATATGTCTACTACCTTTCTCTCTCTCTCTCTATTCCTCTTCCTTTCTCTCTCTTGGTTCTGTAGTTTGTTTCTCTCTCTACATGCTCTTCCTTTCTCTCTCTAGGGCATTACTCCATATTTATTACCTACCCAACCGTTAAATGCCATTTTTACTGAGGTGGATGGAAACCGATCCCCTCTGGAAATCGGCTGCTGACTGTAAATGACACGTGTCGTCCGTTTCGGGCGGTAAGTCAACCCTAGGGTCCCCGGTCGGCGTCACTGAATAAGTTTTATAATGCCACTGAAAGTTGGAAATATATCAGGGCCACCCTTGTTACGAGATTGCCCTTCGCTCCAGAGTATCAAGATTACCCTCTCCACTTCCCGCCTATTGTGTCGACCCTCTACTTGAAATAACCCCACTTTTGTGTGTATTGCAATGTTCTTTTTGTTTTGGACTTAAGCAAAACATTTGTAATTAGGTAATTGCTTATCGATATTAATTCACCTTGGTAGAATTGATCTATTTTTGCTTAATATTTAGTTTAAGAACAAGAAAATGGGACCACTATTTTTCGTTAGAAACTAAGGAAGAATTTAAATTTCTGTAGATAAACATATAAATTTAGACAAAGTTCCTTTTACCTGGGAGACAATGTCGAGCTAATAACCTTGGACATATCTGTAATTGGAGTTCGAGGAATGATCATCTGTCGGGCACATCTCTACCATTAATATGCCATGGCGGCGGAGACTTCAGGAGGTGAATGGGCCCCATACTTTTAATGCCGTGCTGTGGTTTAGATCTCCACTATCATGGGAGATTCGAGCGGAGATTTTCTTTCAACACACAGCACACGATGCATGCTACTCGCCTGATTGTCGTTCTGGGTTATAATTGCAAAGCGGAACCAAAATTCAACTGACATTGTAGATTTATTATTATTTAGATGATTAAATTTCCCACATTTAAGAGGCATCTAAATTGGATGGTAAAATTAATAAGTTACATGCTTTAATGCATGTAACTAGAAACATAACATGTGGTCTCCTTTTTAAGTATCAAGAGTATGTTATATGGTCTAAAATGGCATTTTTATGGTTTTCCATTCAAGAATTTTATGATAGGTAAGATTAGTTTGGATGACAATGAATTTTAAGGTTTCTACCTTCATAGGATAAATGTTGAATTAAATTATAGATATAAGTTCACTCATTTAAGTTTGTATACACTAATAACTCACAACTTACCCAATTTCACTACTCGTTTCTAAAGTTGCCTCATGAAATTTAACCATAGGAAGATCAAGGGTAGTTCTGCTATATCAGTTGAAAATATGTGCAATCTCCACAAGGACATGATAGAAATTTTTACATACCTGCAAGGATATACAGGACCATTCTCCCACCCACAACTATTCAGGGGCATTTTGGTCAAAACTTTGTAAGGGCTTCTATGTCATTAGCAGAAAAGAGAGGCGTGTTTTCTATTACGAGTGAGCCACGCGTCGGCATCGTTCTCTCCAATGTAAGCATGCCGCTTGGGACGAGTACTGTTTGACACGTGGTGACCACGGATTAGCTGCGCCGCGAATTAATGGTCTGAGGGTATTTTGGGAATACGTGGCAAAAAAATGGGGCCAAAATTTCAAAATCCATTAAACTTGGAGGCACGGTTCAAAGCATTGGAGAGAATCTAGGGCACCTTTTCTAATAACAACAGGACTCGTAAGTCAAAACAGTGTCGCTTCTATAAATGACGAGAGTATCCCTGTTTGGATGGCATCCTTCCCTTAAAAATGACCAAAAACCCCCCGAATCATTAGGAAAATAATTAACATATCCCCATTTCAAATTTTCTCAAAATCACAATAATGCCCTTCCCTGTATCGGGTCCAGTCCCAATGACCAACCTTCCTCCTCTTCATGATAGGATCGAAGGGTCCAAATATAGAAATGACTAAAATACCCGTAATTTGGGCAAAACCCGACCCTCTAATTTTAGGAATTGCCAGAGTTTCTGTTCAGACCATCCTTATCTGACAGATAAGCATGGGGATTTTTGGCATTGTAAGGAAAGGTGAAGGTAGCTTTTGGGGCTGGGCCCAATTGGTCCTGGGTCACAAACTACGGCCCAGGGTCAAGCTAGGGTTTCTGGTCTGGTTCGGCCTAGTCCAGCCCACTATTTTTTTTTTATTTGTTTTTAGCCCAATTCAGGCCAGCCGTGATAGGACGGCACTATGAGGACAAGGGTAAGGCGAAAGCTGGCCTGACCCATTGCCACAGTTGATTACCATATTGGGGAATAGGGGTGAATATAAGGGCTCTTGAGGTCTCAATGAAAAACTTTGTGCCTTTTCCGATTTTTGTGGGGAGTCTTTTGGCCCAACTCAGTGCATGGTTGGCTCAGGGTCCTCTCCTGCACCTAACCAGTAAAAAACATTTATAATAAGTCAGACAATGTCTTTTTTATAAAGTTAGAAAATAACCGTGGAAAAAATACGGATATGTTTAGATTTACTAATCGTTTAGAACTTTATTACAACAACAATAAACTTACATCAGAAATAAAATGTAGTTGTTTAACTACTTCGTAAAATGCAGAAAAGTTTAATTGAGTGGGAACAGTCCAAAAAAATTGACACTCTAGGGAAAAAAAAAAAAAAAACGAAAAAGTGCGTGCATTGTGGAAAGCTAGGAATAATATTGGGACATTTTTTGAGAGAATTAATTTTGACTCGTTAGAATATTTTGGATTTTATCCAAATTTAAAAACAATATAATTTTTTTAAAAAAATAAGTGGGCATTTTGGGAATTGTGTGCATTATTTTGGGGAGGCATGCCTCGCTTGCCTACGAGGGGAAAGTCTATATTTGGATAAAGCCAATTTTTGGACAGGAATATATTCAAACTAATCTTGAAATGAACGGTCCAGATCGTTTGAGAACCACTTGGTCGAGCCATCCCAGCCATTGTACAGATGCCTACAGAGACGCCAACATGCACGGAGGTGGGGCCACACGTGCCGCGCTTGGCGCCAGCATCGCACGCCTATAATTAAAACCACACTTAATTGCGATTCTACCCTCGTACGTGCTAATTACTAAATTACCATACGATCTTGTCAATTACGGAAATACCCTTAGTTATTATCACGTGCCTCGTGCCCTAATTTTAAGGAACGCGTTTTTGTACAGCGCCTTATGCGCCGGATCTTTGCGGACAGTTATTAAATTTGGGGGCTGATTTTAACACACCCACAACATAAGTTGGGTGGCATGTGTAAGATCACCGGTCTTGAGGGGTCCTTTAAAACCCGGATCAGTGAGGTAGATTAGGGGCGGCAACAGGTCAGGCTGGATCCGGACCTGAAAAAATGATATGGGACCCGGATTGGACTTGATCGGACCTCAAACGAGATCCAGACCCAAAAATATAGTGAGGTACATGGATTAGGACTCGGACGCGACACACTAGATCCACCAATCTTTGGACCCATTCCGAGACCTAGATCGTGTCTCCTCACAGGTTTTAGGTCAAGTCCATGTCCATTATCACCCATAGGACAGACCGTTCACCTATAAATTTATGTCAAATCACTAGATCGGCAATACGGATCAAGTTTGCACTGGTCTGATCCAAAAAATTATTTAAAAATAAAATAAAAATAAGGTTTATAGGTTGAGGATTAAAGGGACCCAACAAAAAAATATACAAATTTAAAATATATATATATATATAAATGCAGAGGTTAGCCCACTAGCTCATATCTATATATGAACCCAACAGCTCAAATTAAATATGCACCGATCTAACAGCCACTACCTCATTTCGTATTTTAATTTTAATTTTTTTCTACAAAATCAAATCACTTGAAATTTTGGGCATTCAATTATTCTCATCAAGGTGCACTTAATAAAATATTTAAAAATTAATTCACAAAAAAAATATTGACCAAAATGCCTTCAAAAAGTTATTTCTTACCATTTTTTTAAAAAAATATTTTTATTAGATTCTCATATTTTTAAAGAATATACATCTAAAATTTCAAGTGATTTGGATTTGTAGAAAAAATTTAAAATTAAAATACAAAATAAGGTAGTAACCGTCTAATCGGCCCAAATTCAATCTAGGTGGGCTCGAAGATATGAGCTAGTGAACCAACCTTAGCATTTTCCTAAATATATATATGGAAGATACTACTGTTAGCGTAAGGGCTAGCATGAAGATATGAGCCCAATGGCTCAGATTGAATCTGGGCCGATTTGACGGTCACGACCTCATTTCATATTTGAATTTTATTTTTTATTTTTTATAAGTCCAAATTACTTGAAATTTTAAACATGTATTATTCTCATCAAGCTGCACCTAAAAAAAATTGATCAAAATACCCCTAAAACTTTATGGGGGCATTTTGGTCATTTTATTTCATATAAAATATTTTTTTGATATTTTTTGAAGATTCACCTATTTTTTATAAACACATGCGTAAAATTTCAAGTGATTTAGATTTGTAAAAAAAATTAAAAATTCAAACATTATTGAGCTTCCATGATTGTCAGATCGGCCTAAATTCATTCTAGGCCGTTGAACTCATATCTTCACATTAGCCCTTGCGCTTACGGGGGTATTTTGGTTATTTTATTTCATATAAAATATATT